GTGGGTTTTTTTTTTTTTTTTTTTTTTTTTTTTTTTTTGTGGCCGGTAAGGGGATTGTAACCCTTGGTTTGGTGTCGCCCACACCATGCTCAGCCAGCGAGCGCACCAGCCATCCCTATATAGGATCCGAACCCGCGGCCACGGCACTTCCAGAGCCGCACTCTCCCGAATGAGCCACAGGGTCGGCCCCAATTTGATCTTCTATGCTAAGGAAAGCAGCAGAATTTGCAGAAAAAGCACAAAGAGCACATAATAAGCAATCATCTGGCTTTGAAATTCATTATATTTAGTTGGTTTGGGCATTTTACTTCCCTTCTGAGTATAGCTTTGCATTAACATGAACGTCCCTTCTGTGAGTGCCTAGGTGGCAGCAGGGAGAGGGGTGGATGCCAGCCCAAGAGGGACTTTCTCGGGGCTCATCTATGAAGTGGATAAATCCACACCTGGCAGACCAAGAGCTGACTGTTCCAAAATATCCCCAAGGTAGCTTGCATTGGCCGAGGGCACCCTGTAGCCCACTTATGGGTGGTGATTGCAGGGATTTGTGGCACAAGAGGGCTGGGAAGAAAAAGAACCACTGTTTAGTGGCAGAAGTTGCCCCAGCATCCTCTGGGGTGATCTAACCCCAGGTCTGATAGGCTTGTGAGCCAAGGTCTGCCTCGGGAACAGCGAACCTCCTGCCCTGGGTGGGTGTCCTACCTTTTCTGACTAACATTTTGAGAAAATAAATGGGGAAGAAAGTAGAGTCACCTCACCCATCTGGGCTAAGGAAAGGGGATAGTAGTTGCCAACAGGCCAACAGAGGAGAGGACGTGGAAATGGCTTTCTTGCTTTCCGGTTCTTGGCCAGTCTCCCCCTCACTCCCACCCCGTACCCAGGGTTCAGGGTCCCAGGGGAGAGGGAAGCGTCCGCTGGAACTCACAGCACCAAAGGCCACGGACAGCATCGTCTGCATCTTGGCAGCCTCCATGGACCCAATGACCCCTTTCTTGTAAAGCAGGGCACTGCCCGCCAGGGTCCAGAACTTCATATGTTTGACCCCGACGGATACGAACTGCGTGTCTGAGTCGGGGCGAAATTCCACCACAAATATGCGCTCCAGGTGGCCCCCTCGGCTGGCAACCTTGGCACCTGCATAAGTGACGGAGTTTGGTGAGGCAGATGCAGCCCAGGGCGGCTCTCCATCCAGCAAGGCTCCAGGTACCCGCCAGTGTTCTGTCTTTAACAGCTCCCTGTCCCCCTCAGATACTCCCCAAGGTGGGGAGAGTGTGGGTGCTTTCTAGAGCAACGGGTACTGCTGACAGAGCTCCCTCCCACCCCCGGGCATCCGTGAATGGAGCAGGAAAGGATGGCCCATGAGATGGAAGCTTCCACGTATGAGAAAAAGGCAAACTGGCTTAAGGCACCCCCTATATCCTCAGCTCCAGTCCCCACCAGCACCCAGAACTCACCCCCACAGGAAGCCAAACCCTCTCCCAGCGTGTCATGGGGGCTCTCATTCCTGTAGACAACTTCCCTTTTTTAAAAAAATTTCTCTCCAAGGTCTTAAGCATTTTTTTTAAAATAAAAAGTTCCGCATATTCCTTTTTATTTTGTAGTTTAGGCTTAAAATTTTTATCTTTTATGTTTCATTACTAGTTTTTTCCTCAACCCCATTTATTAGTTTTTGACTGCCTCCTGAATTTTATTGAACTTTTGACTTCAATCCCAACTCCACCATTTATTTGTAGAACTTTGGACAAGTTACCTAAACTCTCTGTGCATATTTTCTCGCCTGTAAATTGGGAATAATGATAGTTTCTATTTTATAAGGTGTTATGAGCATTTTTAAAAATTGATATAAGTGAAGCTCTTAGAATAGTGCTTGATACAGGGAGTATTCTCTCTTTGAGCTCCTTTTTAAACGTGTTGGCTTCTATTCTTTTAGCCTGTATTTTAAACCTTCCTCTTTATCTCATTATTTTTAAGCCCTTGAGTTCTAAATTTTTATTTTAAACTTGTTACCTTTCAATTTTCTTTTAACTTACGGTTAATGTTTTAATTCCATTTTCCTCTTAATTGTGTTCCCTCCCTTTATTATTTACATACATATTTTTTTCTTCTCTTCTTTCTCTTTGCTTTATATTTGTTTTCATAATGGCTCCCTCGTAGGGTGCTGGTGGTGGATTTATCAAACGTAGCTGGGCATGTAGCTGCCCCTCAGACATTCCCTAATGGAATCTGTTTCCAGGGGAGGCTGGGGAGATCCAGAGGTTACCTCTCCTGGCTGTAATTCTCTCTCCGCAAATGGAATCTGTGACTTATTATAACAGACATCTCACTACCTAGGGCTCAGACGTTTTAAAACCCATGGTCTCCAAGGATACCATAAACAAAGTTAAAAGACAAACAATGCAGGAGGAGAAGACATTTGCAATGCTTACGAGACTCAACAGATTAACATTACTAATCTATAAAGAACTACAAATCATAAATTAAAGACAAACAACCCTCCCACTCCCATCAGAAAAAGAATTTTAATGGGTGAATTACAGAAGCAGCAATACGAGTGTCCAGTGAAGAGACGGAAAGAGGATCAATCTGAGTAGTCATGGAGGAAATGCAAAGTAACAATGAGATGCACATTTTTTCTAAGCCACTATTTGTTTTTTCCTTGTTTTAATCTCACGGACCTTCTAATTGTGGAGACACCTGTCTCTCTCTTTGCATCGGTCTCTAGTCCGCTCAGAGAAAATTATATAGACATATCTAGGACCTGACAACATGTATTTTATGTAATAAGTTCATTTGTAACTCCATTTTATTTTGTTTATTCTTACCTACCTATACATATACTCACACAAGTTCCCCCAAATAATCCTCTAACAAATTAGGAATGAATAATACGGTCTCTAGTGATAACAGAATGTATATAAACCTCCCCAAACACATGTTATTCATCTGTAAGCAGGACTTGAAGTGAGGGAAAAACCACACTGGAGGAATAAGGGAGAAGAGGTGACACATCCAAGGTCAACTTGGAAGATGTGGCGGCTTGTGATAGGGTGTTAGATGTTATCACTGGCTCAGAACCCTCCTGTACAGACTGGTGAGACAATGGGAGAGCGTTACCAAAGGGCAGGCTTCCTTTCTCCTTGGGAGCTTGGTTAAAAACCCTGGCTCCCCCAGTCCTCTCTTGGGATGTCAAAAGGGACCTCGGGTGAGCAAAAGCCTGGGGCAGGACCAGAGCAGGTACTGCCTGGAAGGGCAGACAGAGGAAATGAGGAGAGTGAGCCTGAACTTAAAAACACAAGACTGTGTCTAGGGGCCAGGGTGACAACTTTCTTCCAAGGATCTAGGAATAGAGTTAGCAGCACAGAAGGCAGGCGTCATGAAGCAAGTGTCACCCCATGAAAGAAAGGGCTTCGCAACGAAGAGCTTTCCAACAGGGGACTGGCTGCCTTGTGATGTGGTGAGGGCCACGTCCTTGAAAGT